CCCCCCCCCCCCCCTCGCCACCTTTCTTGGCCTTACCTTTCCCACGGCCAGTGCTTGCTTTTTTCTTGCCCCCACGAGCTGTCACTTTTTGAACAACGTCCTCCTCCTCGTCACCACTATCCGAGTCATCTTCGTTGTCGCCATCGACTTCACCCTCTTCCTCACAACCCACGTTCCCGATGCCGCCCCGTTCACCATGGCCCGCCGCACACATGTTTGACACTCGTGCTATGATTCGTTCAATGACAGGCGGGGATTCCGCTGTCATCGTCCCACCTGTTACACCCCTCTGCACGCTATCAGCAACAGCCGCACCAATGTCCTTCATCGCCACTTCCTGTTGTCGATTCACTGACGCGCTGGACAATCCCTTCGTAGGCACATCCGTTGCAACTGTCATGGGACGGCGACCATCGTTGTTGTGGTCGACGATCAGCGTCCTCGAGACGTGCATGCTGCATGTAGGGGATAGATAAAGATCAAGAGGATGTCCGCCCCCCTCGCGAACTTCGCCGAGGAGCGCAGACATGGGCCCCAAGGAACTGGCACGACGATGAGGTATCCCCACCGTGTCGTAAGAAGTCTGCGTCGACCCCCATCCAAGTGGAAGAGTCGACGGAGGTGGTTCCCAATGATTATCGTCTGGCAGGGGATGTTGCCAAGAGGGGAGATGCGAGTACAACGCCGGGTCAAAACGATGTTCCCGCACATCCGTCCCGGTGGTAAAGCATGCCCTTTCCATCCCGTTTTTACGCCCCGCCCCTAAATGATAATCCCCCATCGACTTTCCCGCACCTACGAACCTAACCTTCTTCTTCGACGACTTCGGTCGATGCTGGACTGCCGCCCACCTGCCTAGCTGCCACAGCTGGACGACAAGAACGGCCAGCAAGGCGAACAGGAGGAGAGCGAGGACCGCAGTCTTCCTCAACAGGTCTACCATACGCACGTGCGTCGTCAGGACGCGACAACAGGGCAAAAGAGGGAGACCGCAATGGACAATGCACACAGCCACCATGATCGTGCACTTTATGCTGCCCACATGACTCGCTACTGCCATGCCGGAGGACACACACAACCGCATCGGGATGTTGTAACCTGCCCGTTTGCTCCTCTGCACACCAACGGTCATGCAAGGAAACGCAGCACTTCCACATCGCGCCCGGGGCCCGGTGGTTCGAATTTGAAAAAGCACACTATCGTTCCCCGCAACACAACCCCCGCCTTGTAACAGTCGGCGCGATGACCCTTTGCTGCCAAAACTGGCACCTCGGGTTGCCGTTGGTACCGCCCCCGGTTCCAYAGTCCCGCTGCGGACGTCGGACAAAAGCTGGTTTGTACCAGGAACAATTCTGCCTCCGTCGAGAGAAGGACGAAAGCACCTGAAAACCGCCAATCATGCATCCTGAAGGGCGAAACCCTTGCGCCCCAGGTGACCTCCCGAGGCTCCCTTTCGATTTCAGTCGATTTGTCGGGGCCGCATTTTCGTTTCAAGGGCGGACACTTGGCCGCGGGGATGTGGAAACAATTAGCGACGTCAAGGGTGCGTGATTAGGGCGGGGTCGAACGATGCTTCCTTGAAAAATAGCAATTTCCAAGTGGTGTCGAATGAAACCAAAGTGAGAGGAGGAGGGATGCATGCTCGTCGGAGTCTGGAGGGATAGCAGGCAATGCTCGCCCTTGTGTGACTCCGATAATGATGTCAGCAACTTATAGTTAGTCACAACTGTGACGCGCGCACACCCGGGAGATGTGGAACTCATAGAAGGAAAGGAGCATGTGTGAGGGGCGAGAGTCGAAAGACTCGAGTATTACAACTTCTGAGTGTTGCGAGAGAGACGTTGTGGATATTACTCTCCTTCTTAAGCAGTGATACCGCGCCTTTAACCGTTTTTGGCCTTACTCTCAGCTTGATGGCTTCGTATCTTTTCAGCGGGAGATCAACTAACTACCGCAAATGAGAGGGACGCTAAGTCAAGCAGGCGTCTTGAAGTTGATACCGTCTTCCTCATTCGAACCACCATGTAGGAGTGGGTGATGTTCTCACTGGCGTCTGCCTTCAAGAAAACGTCTAGCTAGCGGCCACGATCTGCGCACAGATATTTGAAGTCACCTCTGGAAGAATCATGGTTGGGAGACGGTGAGAGGAAACACCAATGGTACTTGAGGTAAAGAGCGAAAATTTGAGTCCACACGCTCTTACTCAATATGCGAGAATGCGGGACACTGATGATATGTAAGCCTCTCAGAGCCTTGTCTTCTACTAGATCAGCGCTCGGAGCTGATGTTGAAGCCTTCGGCTCTCTTACACAGTTCGTACACCTCTCCATCTTGAGATGAGGCAGTCAAAGTCAGACAGGGAGAGTGGATGAGAGTAGATACGTAAGCAGATAGATTGTAGGGGTAAAGTCACAGAGGCTGGGATATACACGAGAAGATTAACAACGCTCATCTAGTAATAAGGAGGAACAATATGCTATGTGAGGTCAGCTATATTGAATGGACCACTAGTCGTCATATGCCCTAGGAAGGAACTTCAATCGGGAATACTTCAACCCGGCTAAGCTAGTAAGATTTTTGTCGCTTGATCTCTGGTAATGTCATCGCTGACTCTGCTTGATTACAGTGCTTTATTAGGAATGCTTTGTCTGTTAATAGTCAATCTGTTGCCACACCAAATGACTTTGAAAGTTAAAAATAAATGTCGGTCTTAAGGATCCAATGACTTAAAAGAACGTGATAAGCAGTTTAATATTTATGGGTTGTTGTGGTATTGGGGGATGAACGTGCTGTATAAGGAAAACGGGAAATGAGAGACTCACTGTCAGGGTGAATGTTGACGTTGGTAAAAAAGTACGGCATTGATTGGGTATGATGATCACTAAACTTTTGAAACGAGTTAATGGTGTGTCTAGCCCCAAAACCCGAGTTCTCCCTCTCTTTACTTTGTTTTATTCTTGCTTTGCTTTTGATTACTGAGATAACGGGTTACGCCGATTTTGTCACTCGGAACAGAACTGGGGCAACAAGACATAAGAAAAACCTGATGAGCCCCTCGTGAGAAATAAGTTGAGTCAAGCTCGATTTCAAAGCATCATGTTTTCATTTCTCGTTGTAATTGATGGGCAAAAGTTAAGTTTTGCTACAAAAGGTGGCTTACTTACTAATGAAGTACCTATTGGACGAGGACTGAAGAACGAATGACCCCTAATCCTCAAAAGTTGAGTAACTCGTCTCTTTTATGTTATGACAAAACCCTTCTCCTTATTAGATTTGTCAAACCAATTTTCCTCGGCATACGTGACACCATGGCTCTGACCAGATGATAACTGATTGAGTAACCAGTTGAGGGTAGCTACGAGCCACTGTCTCATGTAATAATAGTCGCTCGTATACTTGGCAGCTCTCTCCCGGTCTGGGATTTGTATAATACGCCAGCTAGACTGAGTCCTACTCAGCTCGTTGATTGAAACATGACTGACCCCTGGTAGTTCTGTCGTGAGTAGTAAGCTAGCCGAAAACACCCTGTGTTAAAAATCGTCATCAGCAGGTACACAATCTCATTTGGCCTATAAAGATAGGGGAACCACGTTTAGCCGCCCTCAAACAAACATCAGGCGGGATAGCCCTTGGGGACGCTATTTGTTGCTCCCTGTACTCCAATTACTTCCAAACCTTTAGTTTTGTTTGCCGTGTGAGACACTCCGTATGCATCCATAATCAGCCTTTGCAGTGATACAACGTGTCACACTTGGAGAGATCCGAAACCTATAATAATCAATCATGTTTGAATAAACTAACGCTCCAGTGCTCAGGCCCAATCCTGAAGCAGGTAACCAGTCGGTTGCCCCGGAGTGATTGTCCGAGAGGACCCTGGACGCCTGAGTTGGCCAAAGAAAGGCAGAGTGTTTGTTCGGCTGTGACGGACGATTTGTAAAGTACCTGGTGGTAAAGACTGGAAGAAATAGAGCTTCAGACTGCAATTCGTACCTCATCCTGAGGCAGCAAAGAAAAAATAGAGTGTTTTATTAATTCAGGCTAGATCGAGTCAAGAATTTCTTGCGTGGAAGTCGTGATTGGTGCAAACTTGTCATCATGAGCACAATAATTTATTTACTAGTAGGGTTCGTAGGTTAGCAGTGATCCGAATGTTTTCTGATAGTGAAATGTCATCAGTGATACCACGCCGACTATTCAAATCGTGTTTGATTGACGGCTATAATACAACTTGAATGAGACTCGTTCTGGTGATGCTATTGTCGTTGATATTTTGCTCAGCGTGCCGAGTTTACACAAGTGAAAAAATCTGAGTAAGGGAGGTAGATATCGTTCTACATAAGATCCGGAGCGAGGGTCAAAAAATAAATTTGAGTGAGGGTCATGTAAATGGAAGAAGCAGCCTCGGAGTGTAGCCCAACATGCTAAACTATAAAGATTCTAGACTTCTTCGACGCTAGCCACTCCGTTTACTTGTCCATTCACAATTGACATCATTTGAATGTGCCTGAATCGCCTGGTGAGACATTTGGTTGAGCCCTGTTCGAAGCATTGTGGTGTCTACACAGTCCACAAGTAGGGGTCTTTACTACCTATGTCTGAACTAGAGCTCAATGTGCCCGACACTAATCAAGTCTGGATCTAAGGTTGACTGCCCTGCGCCCTATCGRGGTTCTGTTGTTGGGAGTGACTCACTCACTGCCCAAACTGAACTGAGACTTTTTGTTCAACGATCAATTGCAAACTGGCAGAGAGACATTTCCCAGCTGGAACTTTCTGCAATTCAYGTTATATCTCAAGGTCCTTGCAAAAATATTTTGGGACAATCTAATTGGGTCACTGAAGTGAAGGAAGACYATGAGGTACACAGTAAGAAAAGAGTRTAACAATGCTTGCGTGCAGTCCGTGGTTGGAGACTAAGCAATCTMAACCAAGTCARGGAGAAAACTGGCWGTAAYTAAAACAGACTCTAACTGCAGATYGGATGTCCGAGCATTCTGGTATTCTCTCAGTGTACGGAGGGAACGAAGAGACAGTTTGTTATTATTAGCCGATCACTTCGCGAGCCCTAATAATTGAGTGCAACGGGTTATGTATAAAAAAAAAAATAAAAAAAATGGAGCATTCTCCCTATGATCTTCTTCATATTAAAGCTGGTAAAATAATTAGTGCTTCATCAACTATGTGATCTAATTTTACGGGTCAGATAAGAAAGTTGTAAGGGCATTTACTTGTTCTTTGAGGTTGGAAGCAGGCTAGAACAAACTACAAGACGTTCTAAACAACAAGTAACATTTAACATTCGGCGTCCCTTTCTCATGCCTTACAACTAAGCGGTCAACTTTAGTGACATACCAATTGGTAACGTCCAGTTTATCTGAGATTCACTTCGGCAACCTAGCACCTTCCTCTAAAAGACACGGGGTCTGTTCTGACACTCACCTTAATACTCGAATGCAGATTAGTTAATTCTGGTGTGATGGGTCTCAGTAGAGAGACTGAACATGACAYGGTGAGAGTAACCTGCAYACTGTACCAGGACAAAACCGAGGGCTGGRAAGAAAGGGTGACAMAGGGTCTTCGCTATCAAACAAGACTCGTGATGGAGCACGCGCTGACACTAGTGAAGGACCATACACGTATTRAGTACACTGTACACCTACTACATTCATGGGTCAAATAGAAAAYTGCACAGCACCCTCTCATYTGTAGKATCCMTTGAAGASGCAAGGAGAGTTGTTGCAGGTGATCAGTAAGAGGACTTAGTCACCGATTCAGGGACAAATGTGCAGACGTCAAACAAAGACAGTTYATGAGGAACGAACCAGATYTGAGATTGATCATAGTCGGACATACGGKAYATCACCAGAACACGATCAGCAATCGAGRCAGYTTCAAAACTAAGAAAGTCAGAAAGAACGCAACCATTACACACATGAGTACAGTTCAGACATTTCCGGTCAGCAAGTAAGTGTTGATTAATCTCAATCAGATTGCACTCAAGGAGGCAATTCAGTATCAGTATCAACATAAAAATTTCCCAGAATCACATATCCATTGTATAATAAAATTACATTCTAAATTTTAAATTTTCATTCCATCTTAAATAAATTTCATACCAATTTTGAAATTTT